GAGAGAGAGAGAGAGAGAGAGAGAGAGAGGGAGGGGGGGGGGAGAAAGGAGGGAGGGCAGAGAGGAGCCCAACGATGAACGCTCTTCGTTTATTTGGCGCCGTGAATCCTTCATTATAACCTCTCTTTGCCGGCGAACAAGGGCTCCTTTATGAGCTCAGAGACCCGCAGACCCATAGGCTCGTCCCCCGCCCGCCCACCTCTGACCCCTACCCTGGGAAATACTTTTCATCGCCACACTGCTTAAACTCTCAAGAGTCAGAGCGAGGGAGAGAGAGAGAGAGAGAGAGAGAGAGAGAGAGAGAGAGAGAGAGAGAGAGAGGGAGAGCAGAGGAGGGCAGGAGCGAAAAAAGAAGAAAAGGAAGGGAGGTCGGCAACGGTCAGGGTAGAGTGGAAAAATAAGGAGGGGTTAAAAGTACAGCTCGGTGGAGGGGGGGTGGTTATATACCAGCACGACCTCCAGCCAGCCCACGCTTAACCCCTCGCTACCGGCCGTCCCGAAGCACCAAAGCACCCCGCTTCAACACTTCTTGTCGTGAGCAGACAACTGGTGCCTCCTGTGTTCCGTCCCGCTCCGCTCGCATCACACCTGCGAAGCCGACCCCGCGCCCCACTCTCAAAACACACGCACGAAATAAACGAAATGACGAAATATATGCCCTTCCCTCCCTCGCGGAAGAGTAGAGGGTAACCTCCCCCCCCCCTCCCCTCTTTCGAGCCCAACCGCATGGACACAGCAGCGAGCAGCCGCCTCACCCCCCTCGTGCAGCACCCTTCCAGCACCAGCGTAGGCAGCGCCTACAGCGCCCGTGCGGCCAGGCTGCCTGACCACCAGGCGCTCACCGCAAAGCGACGCGTAGCGCCGCGCCGTGCGCAGCCAAGCAACAGCCGCAAACAGCGAACAGCGCACGGCACACTCACGTCCGTCCATTCCGCATCGATCCCGTCCAATTCCGTTATTCTGTCCAATATACACTGTCTATCACATCTGAAGTTGTGTTTCACTGGCGAGCCATTGATACTACTTGTTGAACACCATCACAATGGAAAAACCGTTAGGGCCTTTTAGTGCCACCGGGTATAGTGTGACATGGGAAAGCAGAAGGTGGGTGACTTCGCCTATAACCCAGTAATTTAAGGGGTCAGACGGACTTAAGTCACCCACATGCTGGGCACCCCAGATTTAAAGTGTGAATATGGCGATGTAAATAAGTAGGGTTGAACTGGAAATTATGGCACTTACTAATGTTCATGATTCCAGTCAAGGAACGCGAAGTGTACCGGGTGTTGCATAAAAGACACAGGTGCGGGCGGGTTTGCCTACCCAAGGGGCTATGGCGCCTTACGGGCAGAGCGGGTAGGCAAGCCCGCCCGCACC